AAATTAACTCTATCCCAGCCAAAACCAGGACACACTGGAAGCTGAAAACTGGAGGCAGTAATGAGGATGCAGGCTCTCAACTGCTGAATAGTGGAGAATAAGCACTTCCCTTGACTTGGTGGCTCTATGCTTGTTAAAGCGGGCCAGTATGCAGTTAGTCTTCATCTTTGCAGGGATCCATTACTGACTCATGTTCAACTTGTCCACCAGGATGTCCGTGTCCTTTTGTGCCGAGCTGCTATCTAGCCAGTCCATCTCTGGCCTGCACCTTTGCATGGGGCTACTGCATTCCAGCTGCAAGAGTTCACGTCATTCATAGTTTTGCTCCATTGTCTTAAATAGCTCCCCTTCCGGTACCTGTAGGTAGCAATAACAGGGCCCCTTAGTCTCTTCCTCACCAGACTAAGCAATGCCAGGTTCCTCAGCCTCTCCTCATATATTTATGTTGTTCAGGCTCAAACCAACTCATGGTTGGTTTCCATCTGTCTTAAGCCTTGACAGAACTTTTTCAGAGCTCTTGACTTACAGGGCGTTATGAAAAGCTAAAGGTTGTTAAAGGAAGTAATTTGCACTAAAGGAAATGCATAAAAATGGAAGAGGGGTACAGAAAAAAAAAAGCAACTAAAAAAAGCAAATCCATATAATTGAAGAAATATTTTGATGTAGTCTGTTTAATTTGAAAAAATAAGAATAAATGACTGAAAAGGATAAATAGTGTAATGCTGGTATCCCACAGCTGCAGGTAATCATGCATTGCATGTTTTGTTCTTTGCTTATTCCAGCTTTGATCTTGCAATTAGCTATTGATAATATGAATACCTGCATCTTTGAGGAGCCCAGATGAAGTTAATTCCTTTTTTTTATTTTAGAGAAGCAGAAGAATAAATATTTGAAAATGGGAGTAAACGTATTGTTATATAATTATTCCAGCTTTGATCTTGCAATTAGCTATTGATAATATGAATACCTGCATCTTTGAGGAGCCCAGATGAAGTTAATTCCTTTTTTTTATTTTAGAGAAGCAGAAGAATAAATATTTGAAAATGGGAGTAAACGTATTTGTTATATAAGGTGACCAGACAAATACTAACATTGGGTAGCACTATGCATTTATTCTTTTAAAATTGTCTGGATTCAAAAATAGTGATGGTTTTTGAGGGGGATTAGCAGTAAGGCTAGTGTAATATTTGTCACATTCAGTTTGATTATCCATATCCTGACTGGAACTGAAGACGTTTTTATCCAGAACAGGACTGTCTGTCATTCCAGTATGTGAAGTAGCCCTTGCTTCCACATAAAGTCATTATACAATTTGACATGTTGTCCCCTTGAATGTTTTTCCCCCCATCTACTTCTAAAATACAAATACTTAGGATGCATAACAACATACATTTTACAACAGACTATTCTTTTCCTGGCTGCTCTAGCCACATCTGTTAGTTTGATTTCCCATTGCTGGCAGCAGTAACTTTGTTTTGTTGTAGTTGGTGATTAGATGTCATTAGGATGAGTGTGGTAAATGGCAGTTTTCTATCTGGAGTAGGTTCTAAAGGCATTTTTTCTGGTTTGTAGCCAGAAAATATATGGATTAAATTGACCGCAATGTACAATTACTTAATTTCCTCCTCAGCATTTTGAAGACTCAGTACTCATCAGATTTCTGTCTTTGTTTTTCAGATGGTACCTTGAGAAATTTGAAGACTACCCAAAGTGCAGAAAAATTGTGATCCCATTTGTGTACTGAGCTGTGCTTTTAACAATGTTTTTGAAGTGGCTGCTTTTTGTAACAGCTAACGCTTTACAAGTGTTGGCTGGTTAACAACCCAATCTGATCATCACTGTGACAAAGCCTTTGCATCAGTGCTGCTATTAGTTAATGCTTTTCCTCTTAATGAAAACCCAGAATCTGATGGACATGGTGAATAGGAAGAGAAAAGCTTTTCCAACAGTGGAGCACCATCATAAATACATTAGGCAGCGTGTCTGAATTCACATCATGGGAAGTACGGTAGAGGACTTCTGATGCTTCCTTTTCTGCCTATACAGGCTTCTGCTGTTTCCACCTGATGTAGCCACGCTGTCCTGAGGATTGTACTGTGAGCCCAATCACCTTCACTGAAATCTGGATGGTGCGTTCTGCCTGTTATTTGCCTGCATACACAAACGGGGTTGATTTTTTTTTTTTCTTTCCTTGCCTTCCCAATCCTTTCTTCCCCCCACCTGCATCTCCAGGAGAACCGATGATACAGACCAAGGACATTAGATGAATATAGTTGCTGTTAGGTGAGAGACAGTGTTCTTCCTCCTCTCCGCACTCTTTCACAGATATGGACACTGTATAGATAATACTTAATGCCATTTACATGAACAGCTGTAGTGCTACCTTTCTCAAATAATAGATTGTCATCTACCTCTCAAATTTGATAACTATCTCAATATTCAGTATGTGTTTTCTTACTCAACGCTATTTTTGGAAGGCATTCTTTATTTGGGATTCTTAGGCCGGTCTAGCACTGTTAACAATTGTGTAATGTTTTCTAACTTACTTTATAAAAATATCTTAAGATTTTTACAGTACTATGCTGTTTAAAAAAAAAAAAATCAAGTGTCTTCTCCTGTTGATAAAGGTCTAGATGATTTTATATTCAAAAATCTGTAAACTTTTAGTGCTGCTTGTTTTATTAATGTCAGTTCTCGCATCCCTACATTTTTCTCCTGAAGTACTCCAGAAGGGTTTCAAAAACATGATGGGATCCCAAGCATACTGACTTTCAAGTTTCAGGCACATCTGTGTCCTTTGCATGCTTGTGATATTAAAGAATTTTTTTAGAATTGCTGAAAAAATCTAAGAGATACTACAGAAAACGTAAAAAAACCCCAAACAAACAAAACAAAACCAAAAAAACCAAACCCACCCCCCCAAAGCCCCCCTGACAACCAAATAATAACAATAAACAAAAAACAAAAAAACCCCACAAAATCCCCCAAATCTGCTGCTAATATACTTTGGAAATCTATGGAAATCAAACTTTTGTCAAGCGTCTTCTGATCTGTCTACGCTGTGTATGTTGGGTTATGTTCTTCAAAACAAATTGGTAATATAATTTTGTCAGATGCTGAGTTTTCCATTATGGTATTGCAGTAAGCTTTGTCTAAAGCTCAAAATTCTGTCTTTGCTGGTGAGTTACACTGCTGTAGTAATCAAAGTAACATATCTGATGTATATTTAAAATTGTATATATTGGTTTAAAAAAAGTACATTCAGGAAATGGGCAGCGAAAAAGGACTTTGTGACCCAAGCTTCCGCTTAACAGTTGTTTCTTCCTCTTCTCCTTCCTGCCATGTTTATACAGTACTTACTGCACTGAAGTCTTGGCTGTCATTAAGGATTTGTTCAGTGGTGTAAATAAGTGTAAAAAAAATTCTATCATTATTGACTGAAAATAGCCAAAAATAGCCAAAATAGCCAAAGGAAGGAGGGGAGAGAAATAGCTAGTCCTGCAGTGATGATAACTTACTTACAGCTAAGCCATCGGACTGCCAGTTGCTCCTCATAACGTTGACTGGGGTGACTGATCCTGCTCTCAGACAATATCCGAAAAGCCCAGCTTTGGGAGAACATAGGAATACCCATTCCTTTGATGCCAGTGTCATTACTTGATTCTCAAATTGTTTAATAATTTCTTTAGTGTTTACATCTTTCCTTAGTGTTTTACAGGAAGCTTCCCCTGTTGTTTTTGTTATCACACTCTAATTTGACATTTGATCCTAGCTGTCTTGATGAACACTCAGTCAGTAAGTTCCCTGGGGAGATGGTGGGGAGGATGATTTACCCCTCAATGCTAAAGTGGAGTTAGCAGACAATAAAAGTTCAACAGGATCGCTTAAAGCATATTCTGAAGACAGTTTTAGAAACCTAGTCTCCTATATCTAGATATTTCTAAACCCTATCGCATCCTTGTGGCAGTTTTTTAAATCTTGGTATCTAAATCATCCAGCTATCAAAATCTGTTTTAGGGGAAAAAATACTCTACAGGATTCAAAGAGCACTATTTACTCTAGGTGTTTAAATGCTTGCATAGTTTATGGTGAATTAATATCTCATATCTTTAGGATTATTTGTTAAAAAAATCACTAATGGGACAAACAACCAGTAAAAAATATCTGGCTGCAGCACTTTAGTCTCTAATCTACCACCTCTTTTTTGGTTCTTTTTTTTTGGTCTTTTATGAAAAGGCAAAGATTCTTTTAATAGTAAACAGTGAGAGAAACTGCTCAGTGTTCAGTATGTCTCCTTATATTCAAGAGCTGTAGCTCTCTGTAGTCAGTAGTCTTTATCATTTACGGAAAACTTGTACTGATGCCTCAGTTTTGCTCTGGTGCTATGCTGCTAAATATTTATCTTGACTAAAAGTTTAGCTGGTTTGCTCACATAATGTTAATTTATGGTTTACCTACAGCAGGATGGGGATCTGAAACATGACGCTCTGACAGCTTATCTGTGTTCTTTCTCTTGTTACAGAAATGGAAAAGTAAAGGCCTATGGGATGTGAATGTCAGTGCGTTTAGAAATCATTATTGACTGAAAATAGCCAAAAATAGCCAAAATAGCCAAAGGAAGGAGGGGAGAGAAATAGCTAGTCCTGCAGTGATGATAACTTACTTACAGCTAAGCCATCGGACTGCCAGTTGCTCCTCATAACGTTGACTGGGGTGACTGATCCTGCTCTCAGACAATATCCGAAAAGCCCAGCTTTGGGAGAACATAGGAATACCCATTCCTTTGATGCCAGTGTCATTACTTGATTCTCAAATTGTTTAATAATTTCTTTAGTGTTTACATCTTTCCTTAGTGTTTTACAGGAAGCTTCCCCTGTTGTTTTTGTTATCACACTCTAATTTGACATTTGATCCTAGCTGTCTTGATGAACACTCAATCATGAAGTTCCCTGGGGAGATGGTGGGGAGGATGATTTACCCCTCAATGCTAAAGTGGAGTTAGCAGACAATAAAAGTTCAACAGGATCGCTTAAAGCATATTCTGAAGACAGTTTTAGAAACCTAGTCTCCTATATCTAGATATTTCTAAACCCTATCGCATTCTTGTGGCAGTTTTTTAAATCTTGGTATCTAAATCATCCAGCTATCAAAATCTGTTTTAGGGGAAAAAATACTCTACAGGATTCAAAGAGCACTATTTACTCTAGGTGTTTAAATGCTTGCATAGTTTATGGTGAATTAATATCTCATATCTTTAGGATTATTTGTTAAAAAAATCACTAATGGGACAAACAACCAGTAAAAAATATCTGGCTGCAGCACTTTAGTCTCTAATCTACCACCTCTTTTTTGGTTCTTTTTTTTTGGTCTTTTATGAAAAGGCAAAGATTCTTTTAATAGTAAACAGTGAGAGAAACTGCTCAGTGTTCAGTATGTCTCCTTATATTCAAGAGCTGTAGCTCTCTGTAGTCAGTAGTCTTTATCATTTACGGAAAACTTGTACTGATGCCTCAGTTTTGCTCTGGTGCTATGCTGCTAAATATTTATCTTGACTAAAAGTTTAGCTGGTTTGCTCACATAATGTTAATTTATGGTTTACCTACAGCAGGATGGGGATCTGAAACATGACGCTCTGACAGCTTATCTGTGTTCTTTCTCTTGTTACAGAAATGGAAAAGTAAAGGCCTATGGGATGTGAATGTCAGTGCGTTTAGAAATTCTAGTTCACTGGATTATAAAAAAAAAAAGAGAAGAAGATTTTGTTCTTTGTGTGTTTGTTTTATATTCTCATTATACTGTTGGAACCTTCCTTAAGTAAAGTACAGAATTTATTTGAGGCAGTTCATTAGAGCACAATTCTTATGAGGAGCGGCTGAGGGAACTGGGGTTGTTTAGCCTGGAGAAGAGGAGGCTGAGGGGAGACCTTATCACGCTCTACAACTACCTGAAAGGAGGTTGTAGCGAGGTGGGTGTCGGTCTCTTCTCCCAAGTAACTAGCGATAGGATGAGACGAAATGGTCTCAAGTTGTGCCAGGGGAGGAACAGGCTGCCCAGGGAAGTGGTGGAGTCCCCATCCCTGGAGGTATTTAAAAGTCATGTAGATGTGGTATTTAGGGACATAGTTTAATGGTGGACTTGGTGGTGTTAGGTTAATGGTTGGACTCGATGATCTCGAGGGTCTTTTCCAACCTAAATGATTCTACGATTCTTGCATTTCAAGAGCAAGGTACATTGGTGAAAAGCATACTATCAACTCAGTCAAATGCTAGAACTGCCTTTTGTTTAAACAATATCCCATTTATTTGTCATACTTCACTCGTGCTCCCTTCCCCTTTCAGCAGCTTTGACAGATTTTCTCTGTTAGAAAATATCTGATACTGAAAAATTTTTCTTGAAAATACGTAGTGTGAAAATGAACTCTGTTCTGCCCCTTCCAGAAGGAGAAAACATGTATGCTTGCTATTGGGTATAATGTCTATACCAATTTTTGACAGAGACACTTCTATTCAGACTGCCTACATCTTTTCCAAAAATCCCCTACTAATAAAATATGGTTTGCGGTGTCTTGCTTGAATACTTTTTGTTCTGTTAGTAATCCTTGCTATAACTTGTGGAGGTTGACCAAGGCTTTTGTACCAGCGATTTCGTTATCCCAAATGAGGTCTTGAGGACTGCATAGTAAGGTTGTATTAGAATAACTTAGATGCATATGTGAACTTGACAAGATGCACTCAAAAAAGAAATTATTAAAAGTCACAAGATAAATTTGTCTAGTGATACATTCTTAATTATGTAAAACAAAGTATGTAGCTGAGATGTTCTACACTTGTGGTTAGAGCAAAGATTAACAGAAGCAGAGGCTACTCGTTTGGGTTCCTCTTCTGCTGTTAGGTCACAGTGAACTTTTCATTTGGAACAACTGTAGCACCTGCTGTTTCAACTATTTTAATTGTCGTTCAGCAGCATATTGTCTTTTTGAAGAATGGAGATAGTCTACAAATGACTTGTCTTATAAACTTGTATTCTTTCAGCAGACAAGAAATCCTGAATGCCTACCACAGAGTTTTTACAGCCTGTTTAGGAAAAACACCTCTAACAAACACCTGTTTGTTAATTTAAATAAACTAATAATTTTAGTATGAGAATGTTCAAGCCTGTTCTGCGCTACTAAGTTTTTACCAATAATAGTTGCACTTGTTGGGGCAGCCTTTCACACATACAACAGTCAGTTTTCTGAGGAAAACAGACCTCTGGGTAAAATTGCACCACTTTTTGCAGTGATGCAATGTATCTATCAGCATGTATGTGCCAATGTGCCCATGTGCCCACACAAAAACACATGTGAGCAAGCAATTGTGGAAATTCCTGTTGCGAGACAACTGAAGGGATAAGCCGAAAACAAGGTTTGCATCTGAAAGAGTCGCACAACTGCAACTTGCTGTTGAGCTTCTTAAAAAAAAAAAAAAGTCTTGTAGATCCCTTGCTTGATTTACCGTGTTTGCTTTGAAAGCAAACCCAATACGTTATGTTTTGTTGTGTACAAGTGGATGGTGGAAGCACTAGGTTATTTGTTCACAGAGATGAAAGAATACCTGTATAACGATTGGTACAACATTTGGTGCAATGCCTCTCCAGAGATGATGTGTTACCAGTGTGTTAGCAAGAGCCTCGCAGTGATGTTGTTTGTCCCCGCTCCCTAATATTTGCAGCCTCTTTCTTGGAAATGCCTTTCTACCTGTCCAGTTTCTGAGAGGGCACAGGTGGCTGGATCTGAAGAGGGAGCACTAGCGAAGCCATGTGTTCCAGCTGCTCTGGGAGGGAGCGCTCCATTTCTCTTGGGCTATTGAAAAGGAAAAACAGTACAAACTTAGATATAAACTTCTACCAGAAAAGAAAGAGCTGTGTGATCGTATCCATGAATCGGGGTTCAAATGTTGAGCAGCACTGTCAAGACTAAATAAAGGCCTGTCCAACGTGAGCTAGCAGAAACTACCCCAGGTACCTGCTATTGCTGTGTCCTGCTGGCTGCTGTATTGAGTTGGGACCCAACCTTTTTAATCCATATCAGTGTATTGGTGAACAGTCCGAGAGGCTTCCAGCTATACCTCCCCCGTCCCAAGTGTTATGTTTGCTGCAGGAGACCAAGAACCAGATGCTATGCAGAGCCAGGATTTTGCTAATATGCAAGTGGCCCTGGGAGGAAACCCCGTGAGAAAGAAGCCCGGTGCACTAATGTAGATTTGCGGGATTTTAATGTTTTGCAAGGGCGGATATGTTTCCCCTCTGATTCTCTGCCTGCCTCTTTGAAAAATGGTGGCTGTATCGCAACAGCAGAACTGACTTGAAAGTCCCCAACAGTATTTTGAAAGTGTTCAAGCATTAAAGCAGAGTCATTAATATACACTAACATCAGTAACCAAAGATAAAAATAGTCTTTAGGGTGCTTCAAATAATCCTTGCAAATTTTACTAGGCCTCAGAACCGAAGACTATTTAATAGATTATGCATAATATTT